ACATATATTTGTGACAATCAGTATAATAAATAGCCCTGGATGCATGGCTCAGTTGGCTGGAGTGTCATCCCAAGCACCAAAAAGGTTGTAGTCTGGGTGCATACAGGAGGCAACTGATCAATGTTTGTCTCTCACATCGATATTTCTCTGTCTCTCCCCCTTCCAATCTCTAAAACATATCCTCAAGTACTTTTTACAAGCAAATCCTAGTCTCAGTTCAAAGTGAAGTTATCTTTTTCTGGGCAATTAGTAACACTTTTATAAGTATCAAGGCACCATGTGTGCAAAACATCAGTTAAAAATTTAGGAATATGTGCCCTGGCCGGTTTGGCTCAGTGGATAGAGCGTCGGCCTGCGGACTCAAGGGTCCCAGGTTCGATTCCGGTCAAGGGCATGTACCTTGGTTGCGGGCACATCCCCAGTAGGAGGTGTGCAGGAGGCAGCTGATCGATGTTTCTCTCTCATCGATGTTTCTAACTCTCTATCCCTCTCCCTTCCTCTCTGTAAAAAATCAATAAAATATATTTTTAAAAAAAAAATTTAGGAATATGAACAACTTAGCAGTGGAGGCAGGCCACTAAATGCCAGTTGTTAAACTTGTGTGCTGAAATAGGACAATATACATGTTAGGTACACCAATAAAATATTTATTAAATTCTGACACACATGTAGCAAGAAAAGTGGTCACTTTTTCTTTTTATTGGAAAGTCAAATTGTAACAGGAAAACTATATACTCTTATTCTCACTTGCTTTTTCATATTCAGATGAACTGTCCAACCCTACAGGACCCCTCATTGTTTCACACTGTACATGACTTTCAGCTGAAGATAATTTCCATAAACATTCATGATGCAATTCCCAGGAGCTGATTCATCTTCCAAAGGGGGTCTTATCAACACTTTAATCTGATAATCCATTAGGATCACAGTAGAGTATTTTATAACAGGCAGTCATAATTCTTTAAAACTTCTCTATTAATATATTTCAACAAGCAAGTAATATAAAATTAAAACCTTGTAATCTTTTCTCTAATGACATTTTAAAAATATTAAAAATAGGTCCTCTGCAGCCTTTTAATTATAAAAGAAACCTCCAAAAGACATTAATAAGCAGAAATAAGAGAGACAGTTTAAAAATGCTCTTAGGGATTCTAATCTAAATGTAACACCATTCTCTTTGGAGATCAAAGCTTTTACTAAAATATAATGAATCAGGGAAATGAAACCTATACCAACAGTGTTATAATATATGTTTTTCCTTTCCTGTTCTCTTCTTTTTCTAAAATAAGACCTCTCTATCCAAGGTCAAAGTTCAATAAAATAAGTGCATTCTTTCTGACAGTATTTAAAAATACATTGAGCATTTTTCTGATCAAAAACATTCTCTTCTCTTGGTTTATATAACTCTTCCCACTTTCACCTTTATTTTCCTGTTTCCTCGTATGTCTATTTCTTTCTTTCGAGTGGGAAAATTATAAAAACTTTAAACAGAGAAAAATGGTTACTGGATTTCCTTTCCCTGTCTGGAGGGCACTCCCAGTGTTTCCTGTTTCTAGAGATATCTTTGCCTTTCTTTGTCTCTATTTTCCAATTCTGTTAAAAAAAAAAAACAAAAAAAAAAAACAACAGAAGTTAACTTGTGGAGGACTGATGGTGAGTGGAGATCCCTGGCCATAGAAAGACCTGTCAAGTGAAGATGCAACTAATTACCATGCAGTAGAAGTGACCAGTTTTGCATTTTTTAGCATTCATGTACGTTCTGTGGAATTCACTTTGAACTGGTTTTCCCATTAACTAATGAACTAATGAAAGCTCTGACACATGGTTCATTTTATATATGTATGAATCATGTCTTTACCTTTTCAAAAACTATCCTTTAATTAGCTGATGGCTGAGTTACTATTACTCAAACTTAAGAAACAGCTCAAAATAAATATCATTGCTAATTTTATCACGATTTAAGCTCTCTTTGAATTACAACACATAATATTCTCTTAAGATTTAAATACAATTTATTATCCTAACATCTTAATAGTCATTAAAAAAGAGTTTCTTTTTCTAAGTGGTAGAAAGCTGAATAGAGTAGTACATGAAGAGCAAAAAATCGTGGTAATAATGACTAACATTTATGAAACACTTGCTATGAGCGAGACACCATTCTAAGGCACTATTCACTCACTGACTCCTCACAAGCACCTTATAACACAGGCACTCCAACTAAAGCAAAAAGAAGTTAAATAACCTGCTCAAAGCATACTGCCAATAAGTGCTAGAGCTATGATTTAAACTGAGAGAGTTTGTCTCCAGACTAAATTGGACTACCTCTCAAAGAAAAGAAAAATTTTAAAGAGCTGAGTACTTTTAGTGCCATTATTCCTGGCACTAAATTATCAAAGGAATGTGTATTATTTTTCTGAAACCCGTTTTTTTTAAATGCTATTAGAGTTTGGCCAGTTTGGCTCAGGGGTTGAGCATCAACCTATGAACCAGGAGATCATGGTTCGATTCCTGGTCAGGGCACATGCCTGGGTTTTAGGCTCGATCACCAGTGTGGGACATGCAGGAGGGGCTGATCAATGATTCTCTCTCATCACTGATATTTCTATCTCTCTCTCCCTCTCCTTTCCTCTCTGTTATCAATAAAAATATACATATTTTTAAAAATACTATTGGAGAGAGTTCAAGCCAAACATCTTCGTGGGTAACAGCAATAACAGGAACAATAAAGACAAAAGGTAAGAGGACATGAGAAAGTAAAAAGATCAAAAGAGGGGATAGGTTTTATGCCAAATTAAATTTAAAGAAATTCATTTTATTATAGTAAACATCTAACTTGAACCTAACTTTGAGAGTTTTGTCTTACAGTTGTACAAAATTCATACGATATTCTTATACTCCTGTGCCCATATATAAAAATGGATCTTTATGAAAGAACAATCAAAAGGGCCCTCCTGCTCTACACTTCTTTTGTGGTAGACCTTGGAATGAAATTAACTGGCTTTTGAGAGTATTGAAGCAGGCCATTAAAAGTTTTATAATAAACTACAAAATCTATTCATGTTTGAACTGTGCTCAAATAAATATCTAGCAATTAGCATTGTTTTCTGGACTTTCTTGATTCTTAAACTCTTAACTTATAGAGCACTGAAATCCTTAAAACAGCTCCAGAATGACCCATACAGCCAAAGAGTTTCAAAGATGTGACCTAGAACAGCCCAAGCTCACTCAATGCTGTTACACCCCAGGATGGTTCAACACATGATAATGTCCCAAGACAAACACTTAATGCCTTCTTCTCAGCTAGGGGTAAACCCCAGCAGGTGAAAAAGAAGCTTGGTATTTGAATTACTAATGATGTTCAAGTGTAGGCTTCAAAGTTAAATATACAGATTAGTGGAGAATTTTCTTCATTCGTAGAAAAACCTAAAATAGAGCTATGGTTAAAATGTTAACAACAAATCTGTCACCTTCAGTGAGTGTTTATAGAGAAACACACTGTACATCACTTCATAAGCAGAATCACTAAGACGAGAAAATAAGACACAATTAAGGTGTTAGAAGAAGTGATTAAGTAAGATTTAAGGATAAAGGTACTAATTATAAAAGTTACTAAAAACATTATTCTAGGGATTAAGAAAATTCTAGATTTGATTACAAGACATCTTGAAAGAGATCACCTGCCACAATTCTAGTGAAGTAAGTCTAAATTAAGTATGAATTATAGGCAAAGGTTTAAAACAAAATGAAAGATTACAATGGGCTTAATTACTCTAAAAATTTTCCCAAAATACCAAGCACATGGAAAATCTTTTATTTCAAGTACCATCTAAATATTTAAACTTACAAACTCCAGAAAATGCATTAATTCTCTTATTATTGAAAGTACTAGTTATGCAAATAACAAGTGCTATGGAACTGTAAACTGTGCAGCTACTATGAAAAACAGTATATGCATCCCTATGTTTATTGCAGCATTATTGACAAAAGCCAAGATATAAAAGTAACCTAAAGTGTCCATCAATGGACAGTGGATAAAGGAGATATGGTGTATATATACATACACATACACAATGGAGCCCTGGCCTGGTGGCTGAGTTGGTTGAAGCATTGGCCCATACACTAAAAGGCTGCAGGTTCCATCCCAGTTGAGATGCATATGTGAAGCAACTGATCAATGTTTCTCCCTCACATCAATGTTTCTTTTTCTCTCTCCCTCCCTTCCTCTCTCTCTCTAAAATCAATAAACATATTCTCGGGTGAGGATTAAAAAAAATGGAATATTACTCAGCCATAAAAAAGAATGAGTCTTGCCACTTGTAACAACATAGATAGACCTAGAAGGTACTATGCTAAGTGAAAAAGCCAGACAGAGAAAGACAAATAGCTTTCATCTATGTGTGGACTCTAAAAACTAAATAAACAAAATAGAACAGACACATAGATACAAAGAACAAACTGATGGTTGTCAGAGGGGAGAAGACTGGGGATATGTGCAGAAAACGTGAAGTGATTAAGAGGTATACAAAGTTTCAGTTACAAAATAAATAAATCATAGGATGTAATGTACAGCATAGGGAATACAGAGAACATCAAAATAACATTGTATGGTGACAGAAGGTTACTAGACTTGTCATGGTAATCACTTTGCAAGTATATATAGATATCAAATCACTATGTTGTAACTTGAAACTAATATAATACTGTATGTCACCTATACTTCGATTTCTTAAAGTATTAGAGATTAAAAATAAGTATTAGTGATTAAAATATATTTTTCTTCTTCACAAAATGTAAATTAAAAAACTAAAGAGAGAAGTTGTTTGTGTCAAAGTTTTCAATAATGGGAACTTCATTGGCAGCAAAGTTGACCAGGCTTCAGAAATAACCTGATGTTTCCAGAGTTTGACTAAGTATATAAAACTTCTTACCAACTGAAAAAAACAAAAACAAAAACAAAAACAAAAAAAACAAAAAAAAACTGAAGAGAAAAGGGTACTCACTTTTCAATCTCAATGCCAAGTGGATTAGCAGGACGTAGGGACAAGGGAGGAATTCCTTTATTCCTGTCGGTACGCATATCATAATAATTCATTTCATCAACCCACACAGCAGACTGGTCCAAAATACCTACCAAAATGAGGAGTACATCCTTAGTAAAATACAGACACCTCCAGGTACTTTCTACGTTTTTGCAAACTGCTTTAGTTTTTAAGGATCTAAGGTAATTTTTACGAGATTTGAGGATAAAGAGGCTCTAATTTTTTTTTTTAATGTCTGGTGGCTTAATTAAAAACACTAAAGTCCAAAAAATAAAATCAAACACTAAAATCTATTTTTAAAATGACAAAAATAATACCTCTTGGCAAATGGTTTTGTTGTACATTACTCAATAGAAAAGACAAATTAAGCCTCTGATAAAAAGTTCTGCTAAAATTAATGTATTTTACCAAAAAAAGTACAATTAATTTGGTAAATTCTACAATATATACAACAATTCCTTATATAAAGAAACTACTCAAAACACCTTCCAAGGAATACATAGCTTGTGTAATGGAACTGACTCAGATTTAGAAACTATGACTGAGCAGCATCTGTGAAAAAAATATGACCTCTGAAAACAGTTTTGTATCCTCTTCTGGGCTCTTTGTCATTCATCTTGGCATATAACTTACTAGTTTACCACCTCAGGACCTGGGTTACAAGAGAAAATGGGCAAAGTGCCAGTGAGCAGAGAGGAGCGGCTGGGGGCTGAGAAGGCTTCATGAAGGAAGGATATTTGATGCCAGGCAACTTCTAGATGTATGACCCTTTGTGATCCACTAATTTTATCAGTACCCACATTTCTTCCACAATCCAACAGAAGACTCTATGAGAGGTTATACTCAAGTCCAGATACTTCAAGTTCAGTTAGATAAGCCTTTATTGAGCCTACACTATGCTAGGCTCTGACGAGAAAAATCAGAATAAAATTAGTAATTTCAATAAGTTTTCTTTGTCTGCTGTATAAAAATCACATAAAATGATGCTGGATTCTGTCAAAATGTTTAAAGTTCCTCATTTAACTTCACAGTTCCATTTTTAAAAATGTAATAGAAAAATGAGTAAATAAAAACAGTGATATTATACATATATTAGAGACCCAGTGCATGAAATTCGTGCACATGGGTGGGGGGGTGTCCCCTCAGCTCAGCCTGCACCCTCTCCAATACATGCCCCCTCGGGGGATGTCCGACTCCTGGTTTAGGCCCGATCCTAGGGATCGGGCCTAAACCGGCAGTCGGACATCCCTCTCACAATCCTGGCCCGCTGGCTCCTAATCGCTCACCTGCCTACTTGCCTTGTCACCCCTAACTGCCCCCCTGCCAGCCTGATCGCCCCCTCACTGACTGTGTGCCGGCCTAGTCACCCCTAACTGCTCCCCGCTGCCAGCCAGGTTGCCCCCAACTGCCCCCTCCCTGCCATCCTAGTCGCTCCTTACTGCTCCCTTGCTGGCCTGGTCACCCCTTACTGGCCCCCCTGCCAGCCTGGTTGCCCCAACCGCCCCCCTCTGCTGGCCTGGTCGCCCCTAACTGCCCCCCCTGCCGGCCTGGTCACCTCTTACTGCCTCCCTCTGCTGGCCTGGTCACCCCCAACTGTCGCCCCCAACTGCCCACCTCTATCGGACTAGTTGCTCCCAACTGCCCCCCTGCTGGCCTGGTCGCCCCTAACTGCCCCCCTGCCGGCCGGGTCACCCTTCACGGAACCCCCGCCAGCCTGGTCGCCCCATGCAGTCTGCTTGTTCAGTCGTCCCTCACTAACACCCCTGCCAGCCTGATCGCCCCACGCAGCCTGCTTGTTCAGTCATTTGGTGGTCCCTCACTAACGTCCCTGTCGGCCTGGTTATAGGCAGCCATACTGTGAGGGCGTGAGGGTTAATTTGCATATTACCTCTTTATTATATAGGATATACATATGTATGCATGTACATATATAAATTCCATTTTCAATTTCCCCTAAATTCCTTAAATTTCTATTTATAAAAAATATCTAGGAATTTAAGGAAGATACTGCTGCAGAAAAACTCTATACCCTCAGATAGAAAACAAAAACAATTTATAAAATTATTTACTTTTCTATACCAAAAGTACAGCCTGAGTTTAATTTAATTGCACCGCTGATATTCCTACATTATACAAATACTAGAGGCCCAGTGCACAGATTCATGCACCGGTGGGGTCCCTCTGCCTGGCCTGCGGGGACTGTCCGAAACTGGCAGTCCTACATCCCCTGAGGGATGTACTAGTGTGCAAAGCGGCAGCCAGCCAGGGAAGAGCCCGAGCCAGGCTGGGCACAGCGCTGCTCCTGCTCATCCCAGCCCCACTGCGCCTGCCGCTGCCATCGCTCTGTAGACTTGCTGCCACTCCACTGCAGTCTCCGTGTGCCTGCCCTAGGGCGATACCCGTGCACCCATGAGTGAAAAGCAGCCACAGGCTCGCACCCAGTCAGTCCCAATCCTGGTCCGTATGGGGGAGGGGCATGTAGGAGGAGTGTCCTCGGGAGAGGCTCGCACTGCCGCAGCGGCGCTCAACAGCCATGAGCCCAGGGTCTGGTGCCTGTTGGTCAGCTGAGCGGAGCTCCCACTGTGGGAGAGCACTCACCACCAGGGGGAAGCTTCTGCATTGAGCGTATGCCCGCTGGTAGTCAGTGCATGTCATAGCTACGGGTCGAGCGGTCGCTTAGGCTTTTATCTATATACTAGAGGCCCGAGGCACTAAATCAGTGCAAGAGTAGGCCTTCCTTACCTGGCTACCATTACCGGCTTCCCTCTGGCAACCGGGACCCAGGCTTCTCTCCAGCACCTGGGACCTGGGCTTCCCTCGCAGCCCCGGCTTCATCTGGAAGGACGTCCGGTCTAATTAGCATATTATGCTTTTATTATTATAGATATAAAAGGCTAATATGCAAAGTGTCCACTCAGGAGTTCGACCAGGAGACGGGGAGTTCGTTCACTTGCTATGACGTGCACTGACCACTAGGGGGTGGCGCAGAATGAAGGAAGGCCCCGGCCGGCAGCTGGAAAGCCCCAATCAGCCCTGATCACCAGCCAGGCCTAGGGAACCTACCCGTGAGCAAATTTCGTGCACCGGGCCTGTAGTATATATAGATTAAGTACTAACCAAGTGCAAGATAGTATAGAACCAAAAAAAAATAAATATGACATTATTATTTTAAGAGAGGGATGGCCATGCTTAGCAATAGCTATGAGAAAAATAAAAAGTATTGGTTAGCAGCATGGCAGCCAATACATGACAGTCAAGGTCTCTCCCCTTAAAGTTATAAATTGGACAGCTATAATTCAACAAAGGATTGATTCCCTGATAACACAGAAACACATTGTGCATTGAGACATCTAAAGGGTGCATCTCAGTTAACAATGGAGACAGGAGAGGGAGGGGACAAGACAGAGATGGAAGTTCTGGGCACTACTTGTGGAGGCTTCTTGATAGTGAAGGGGTGAAGTACTATCACCACTGGACAAAAAGGAAGGGCAGACACAGCAATGGGGCCTCAGTGGCTGACAGACATTGAGGCTGGGCCCAGAGTCAGGGGCAGAGAAATTGTGCAAAGTCAAAGAACACCACAGCCAGCCAGTACCAGACAAAGGATTTCTCATATGCGGGAACCTGCCCACACCTGTGGCCTGCCTGACAGGCAGAAATCCTTACTTGGAAGATCTTTAAAGGGCTGAAAAAACTTCCAGAGTAAGTGGTCTGTAGTCATTGTAGCTAATTACACAAGGAAGAGCAGAACCTTGGATTCATGAAACCACTTCCCCACCAAACCCTGTTGCACCCATCTCTATACAACTAGGTCCTAGGTTGAGGCAGCTGGGGTCAACTCAGACAGAACAGCTTGACTGGCAGCTTCTGGCTACCTGAATGAAGCACTGACAACATTCAGAAGACCCACAGCCCACCACTTTGAATCCATGGGAGTGCTGCCCCAGGACTCAGATTGGGCAAGGTTACCCCACCTCCTCAGGAAATACCAGGAATATTCCAAGGCCCAGGCTATAATGCTGCACAAAGATCCTAGAAGCCCCAGCAGTGCAGAGAAAATAAAAACTTGTGCTTTAGCACCACCTACTGTAAAACTAAAGAAAGAAATCTACTTATCAACCTGCTAAACACTAATGTCAAATACTTTTTTAAAAAGTTTTCATTCCCACAAATGCGCAGGCAGAGAAATAATCCATCAAGTACAATGAATAACCAAGGTAACAAGGGAGGTCAGAAAGAAAATTAAAAATCTCCAGAAAATAAACTTAAGACAGGAAACACTGTGATTTAAATAACAAAGAATTCAAGATTGCAGTTCTAAAAGAACTCAAGGATAAGAAAACTCAGAAAAGCAATTCAGTGATCTCAGAAATAAAATATATGAACAAAAGAAATATTCACCAAAGAGACTGAAACTAAAAGAGAACAAAACATAAATTCTGCAGCTGAAGAAATCATAAAAACAAAGAATAATGAACTAGCAAGGTTAGGCAATAGAGCTGACCAGACAGAGGAGTGAATTACTGATATAGAAAACAGTAATCTAGAGACCTGGACAGGTGTGGAAGGACACACTTAACATTGAATCTGAGGGGCCCTTTATTTCTTGTGGGAACATGTGTTGGTGAGCAGAAAGGGGGCTAGACAGTAGGTCCAGGAGGGAGATCAGCCCTTCCCACCTGGAACACAGGGGAGTTCCCTCTATCCTACCGGCAAAACAGGTACTTCTGACCCAATCTGCAGCAAGGAGGAACAGTCCAAGGAAGGAAATCTGTGCCCCTTCAATTGACAGAGAGGAGGTGCCAGCAAACCAGATAGAGCAGAGGCATTAGAAAGAGAGGAAGTGCCCAGTACTCCGTCCTACAAGGTACTGGTACCACCTCCAACACAAGTCCAGCCAAGACCAGGATACCTCCACAGAGCCCAGCTCCCTGGGGAAAGGGAGTATAGTTCAGAGCAGGGACAATTAAGGCATATGATTGGAGGCAGACCCAGCCTCTGGGCTAATGAGTCACTGCCCACTGGACTACTAGGGGCTTCAAACTTCAGACCTCAATCAGGTTGCCCAGGGCCAGAAAGGGACAGTGA